GAATTTCCCCAAAAGAAAAAAAAGATGAAAAATAGAAGAAGTTTTGTACTTTCTTGCTAAGAAAATTTTGAAAAAGTTTTTGAACTTCCCCAAAAGAAAAGACATGAAAAAGGAAGAAGCTTTAAACTTCCTCAATGAACAAAGCGAAATGAATCTCTTGGATTTTCTTCTTATCAAATAATGTATGCATGATGAATGTTCGCAGGCCAGGAGGCTAAGGACAATTACATCACGTGACACGATCAATGAATGAACTTAGGTCATGAAGCTAAGCACAGTATAATCGTAATTTATTGTCGATGTATGTTGCTATCGAATGATGACCACTTTGCTGGATGCTTTTGTGAAAGATAATGAAGTGTACGTGGTGTTGCAACAAGATTTCATGATAAGGGGTTCCTAAGGGAAGGAGGATATGACAATGTATGTGTGAATGAAGTGTGTGAAAGTGATACTAAGGCTGGCTGCAAAGGCTATGATGATGGAAATAGATGTGAGAAGAGTCAATGATGATAACTCTTTAGGCTAGGTAAGCTAAGTGATTTGGGTCCAAGCCCCCAAGTCTAGCTCTAGATGGATAGGGATGAGCATTGGAAATCTCTTAACGCGATCATATGTGAATGTGGCCGTACCTCGATGTGAGGTTGCCTACGTATCCATTAGGAATCAGGTCGAACGTAGCTTTAGCCGAACTTTGCACAAGTGTATGTACACCTCAAAGAGGTCTTTCAAAGGCTGTAATGTGGTTAAGCTAATGGTTTAATAAAGAAAAAGGTAAAAGGCAGACCCGAGAGAAGCCCCCCAAAATGTGTAATTGTGTTTTTGAAATTTGGACTTTGCAAGTTTTATTTTTTCGCATTTTTTTTAGCTTTATTTTTAAGCAATGTGAGCAATCCCAGATCATGCGGTCCATCACTCACTTAGCATTCATGTTTCTCAGGCACGGTACCAAGCACTCAATGAGAGACGCAATTCAAGACATGTTCATATCAAAGACATTGGAACACTTTCCCTTAGACATTGTTTTACTATTGCTTTACTTTTTTTTCTTTCTTTTTTTTTTTATTTTTTTTAACTTGCTTTTGAATGTTTCACAAATCACACACCTTCCCATCCCAAGATTAGGTGGATGTGGGTTGAAGAAATGAAGACCAAACGTTAGACGAGGCTCAAAATGGTTAGTGCAGAAATGAAATATATGTTTGAATGGTTTAAGGGGAATGAATGGGTTGCAAAGATGCCTCAAATCATTGGCATACCTTGTGTTTGGTTCGGCAATTGATATTTTTTTTTATTTTTTTTTGTAAAAAAAAAAGCAAAAATGACATGATCGAGATGTAAAGGAAATATGCTCATTTTATTGATGGAAATGGTGAATAAACTAACAAAATGCTCAAATAACAGAAAGGGAGATCTATGCTAGACTTGAATTGGGGAAAGGGAAATGATAAAAGAGAAAAAAAAAAAACATCATGAAATCTTGCACGAAGGACTCGCCGCGCGCTTTATCTTCACTACTTCTTGTCGCCTGGAGGGACATGAAGTTTGTTGGCATCAGCTAGATCCTGGTTGGCATCTTTTAAGTTCCAACATTGCTCGGTAGAGTGACCCCTTCCTTGGTGGAACTTGCAGTGGGCATTAGGATTCCACCTGGCACTCCTTTGTTCAGGTTTTGGCTCTAAGAATGGTCCAATAGGTGTAATCAAGCCCTGACCGTAAAGGCAATCAAAGGCGGTGTCATACCTCATTCCCAAAGGAGTGTAAGTTCTCCTTTTCTTTTGAAGGGGAGTATCAAGAGCTAGCACTTCATTGATAGCAATTCATTGATATCTCATTCCCAAAGGAGTGTAAGTTCTCCTTACTTTTCTTTTGAAGCACGCCTACTTAAGCATGTTACTTTTCTTTTGAAGCACGCCTACTTAAGCATGTTTTGAATATGCTTGGCACTCGTAGGAAGTGGGAATTGACATACGATTTGGGACATGATTAGGGACAAAGAAAAGTAAGCAGTCGCCAACAAGTTTTTAAGGAACTTGTAAACCCTTCACGAATCATAAAAGGCAACCACGATTAAGGGACAACGAAAGGCAACAACGATTGACCCGTGAAGGTTACACCCCATTCATAATCCATGAGATTACTAACTTTATATGGTTCGGAACCACGAAAGGAGGATCGGGGATGATGATACGAAGTGAGTCATGGAGTCACATTTGCCTGTATTGGCCTCTACTCGATTCTTTTTGTGAAAAGTAATTCCTACGATCTCAAGGCATACAAACAAAGATTCAATTTGCTCCAAACTATATTAGCCAAATTGGTTGAATGTTAATGCAACATACAATTCTAAAATATTAGTGATCACTTGATTAAACAACAAAATTAAAAAGGAACCTAAACGGGTCGTCCAAATTATCTTATTACGTGTTATATGCAGTTACATATTCCCTTTAAACATGCAATATGGTGATCAATATATATAATAAAAATCATCATCAACATTGGAAGCAATTTAGCCATAATAACGTTAGTCAAATCAAATCATAATAACTCTAATCATGATACTAGCAATATAAAATAAAATAAGTAATTAAATTAATTAATTACTCACGTTAGGTGCGCTTCTTTAAATTGCTACATCATGAATAAATTGTTAGTAAGTTCAATAAAAATAAATAATAATGGAAATTAAATTAAATAAAAGTAGAGTTGATTTGAGACCAAACCTCAAAAAGTTCTACCTTTCACGCCTTGGTTTAAGTATGGAACTTCGGGTGTTGTATGGACTCCTTGGAGTGCTTAGGGAAGGAATGGTGTAATTAGAAGAATAGGTTTAAGGCTTAGAATAAGAGAGAGAGGAATTAGAATATGTGTTGGTGCCCCGAGACTGAGAAATCAACCTCGTATTTATAGAGAAAATATGAGGGGTGAGGTACGGAAATCTGAAATTGAAGCGCCGCGAAAATAAAACCCTAGAAAATTACCGTGTCACGACAAAATTGCCGTGATGCGGCAGATTTTGCCGTGACGCGGCAGACTTTGCCGTGTCGTGGCAATAGTGTTTTCTGCAATTTCGTCTAGGTTCATTTTTATCTTTTATATTGCATTAAGTACGGGATGATTGTGCGTCGTTTCATCTATTCCGGGTTTAATTAAGTTTAGGGTTTACATGTTTATTAATCGGGCTCAATTAATAAATAATAAAAAGGGTTTAGGCTGAAATGTGGATTGGACTATGTTTGAATGAATGTTTGGACTGATTTGTTTACTGATTTGTAGGCTATATTTGACTGAATATTGATTTTAAGCACTCCCGAAAAATATTTGACCCGACCAATAATGGCAGTGAAAGATTTTTCATCATCGGGTTTGATTTTGGGGAGAAATTTTTAGGTGTCTACAATTACAATAACATTGGAACATAAAATTAAGTGCGTATTTAACCCACCCAAAAAAAAGTTTAACCAAGTTAGTACTTACTTATAATCGTGGATAAGAGTTAAAGGATGGCGATATTGTTATGGGTTAGTTTATACATTTTGTGGTCCCTATATGGCAATATAAACAAATATCGGGCCACAAATAAGGCTAATCTTAATAAAATCAACCGTAATATATATATATATATATATATATATATATATATATATATATATATATATATATATATATATATATATATATATATATATACGGGGAGGTTCCGGGCTTATGGTGAAAACTAAAAACAGAAAATCTCAACCATCCATTATTACTAACAAGATCTAACGGTTTAAAAGCCAAATGATCTTTACAACTTTTCCTTATACATACTCAATGGTTTAGAGGTAACAACATAAAAAATAACACAATTTTATCCAATTTGACAACGTTTACATAAAGGTAACTATGTATAAAAATAATGTAACTTTATTAATTTTGATCACATTTACATAGAGGTCACTATATACAAAAATAGGGTAACTATATTAAGTGACAGCATTTATATAGAGGTCACTATATACAAAAATAGGGTAACTATTTCAATTTTGACCATATTTACATAAAGGTCACTATATACAAAAATAGGGTAACTATATCAATTTTTACAACATTTAGATTAAGGTCACTATATACAAAAATAAGGTAACTATATCAACTGAGTTTTTGACACCAATTACATAAAGGTCACTATATACAAAATAAAGGTCACTATATATAAAAATAAGGTAACCACATCAATTTTGATAACATATACATAAAGATTGCTATATACAAAAACAAGGCGACTGAAACAAAATTTACAACATTTCCATGATTCTAAGGTCATTATATCGAAAATAAGGTAACTATACATAAACTTCGGGTAATTATAGCAATTTAACACCATTTACCTAGAGGTCACTAAATATAAAAATAAAGGGTATTAAAAAAGTCTATGTAGGATTTGAACCTACATCCTGTGATTACACGGTGCTCGACTGATTGAGCTAATAGGCTTTCAACATGCCAAAAACATAGAGGCTTAAAACCAACACATATTTTAGATTCATATTTTCCACTAAAAAAAATAAGGCTTCTACAAGCTAATTGAAATAGACATATCATGAAGAGGCAACAACAGGTAAACAAACACCATTATTGATTATTCACCTATGTTATTGTAACTTTGTAAGACACCCCCCAAAGCCCCAACTAGCTCCATCTTTCCTAGATACTATATAATTGTAACAAGTTTATAATAATCATTCTTAAAAACAGATATAAGCCTATGAGGCTATGATTCACAAAGCAATACATGTCTAGCTCCATATCAGAGTGCACTTAGATTTTGGTACCATTACTTCAAAAGAAAGTCTATAGTAGGATAACAATACAATTGACCACTTGGTACTAACATTCAACTCTCCAACTCTTTGAGTGGAATAATAACAATAACTCACATGTCTAGACTGTCATGGATGATCTGCACTAATGTTCGAATAAAATCTTAAATGAAAATGTACAAATCTACTGCAGAATTAAGCAAAATATCGTTCACAATCACAAGCAGAACTTAACCAATCACATTCTTTCTTATACACAGCATATAACAACCCATTAATAGGCAAAATCACATATCTGCACATCACAACACACAGGAGTGAAATCAACACGCTCACAATCACAAACAGAACTTTCACCCAATCACACACCTATACACAAACGAACAACTTACTGTCCAATTATAGGTTGTATATATAAACAATTTCTACGGCAATACAAAAGCAAGGAAATCACATTTCTGACAATCAGACTAAATACATCAATAAAATGCAGCAAAATTAGAAAATTATCATAAAAAATAATCGAATAAAATACAAAGTTTAGAAAATTTGATGATGAAATTGAAAATCGAACACAAAGTGATAAACTAAGCCGAAAATCGAGCACAAACTGATAAACTTAAAATTAAAAAATCAAACACAATTGAGAAAAAATAAAGCCGAAAAAATCGAAATCAAATTCAAAAAATTAAGCCGAAAAATCAAACACAAATTGAAAATAAAAAATTAAGTGGTAAAAAATTTAATAAATTGATCAATATACAATGAAAAGATCGATTAACGTAGAAAAATTTGATGATGAAATTGATGAGCTCAGAATGCCAAACGAAGAAATTAAGTTGAATTATAACATAATTAAACTCATATGAAACTCGATTAAGAATGAAATACCTAAAATAAAGTTACGAAACTTACAAAATTTGCCAAAAATTACAAAATTAAACAAAAAAACAGAAGCAAAGTACTCAAAAAATTACACAAATCGGAAACGAAAAACTCAAGAAATTACTCAAAAAACAACGATATGAAGAAATTATGAAAAATGCAAATTAATAACTCAAAAAACAATAAAAAAAATTAGAAACGAAATACTCAAAAATTACACAAATCAGAAACGTAAAACTAAAAAAAAATGCTAAAAAAACATTGATTAAAAGCTAAAATAAAGCAAAATTATAAACGATTTCCTTAGATAGATCGTAGACGATATTAGGAACCAATTTGATGAAGAATCGAATCAATTACAACTATGCATTGGAGAAGTAGTATGAAGTTTGAGGAAGAATGTAGAAATGAGGAGAGAGAAACTAAAAGGTTGGGAAAAAAACCCCTACGGTAGGATAAGATGAGTTTGAATCTATGGTTAAGATTTTGTGTTTTCAGCTTTACTTAAGGGTAGTTTTCACATGATCCAACTCCTATATATATATATATAAAACCGACTTGGGCCAACGGATCTAAATAGAACAAATTGGGCCTACTAATATATTAAAGTAATCAATTCTATAAGGCTATTAAAATGTGGTCGATTATATTTTACATGGTCGATTAATATTAAAGTGTGGTCGATTATATTTTAGGTGGTCGATTATATTATATTAAGCATCTTTCACAGTCGTTAACTTGAATTGCATAGAATACATCATACGATACAACACAGAAAAGTTTATAATCATATTACATATCCAAATTACAAAGCATTATTGACATAAAGCTAAAACAAAGGTAAATATCGAGGTCAACAATACACAACCATCAATACTTAGTATACTAAAAGGAACAACAAAGACACGCCGGGCACGGTTATACTGTGTCCGATATAACAGAACACCAACCAATGTCATTGTAGATAAGCAGGTCATCATTAGGAACAATATCGATTTGATGAGACGGGTCATAATGTTGGTTCGCATCAAGATTTCGTCTTACCTAATAGGAAGGGAAGGTACCTTGTTTTGGCCCTTCTTGGTAGTGCTTGGCTTTTTTAATCCGATTTCAACAAAGTCCTTACTTTTTAGGAAGAGGGTCTTTTAACTCGGTTTCACTACCAGATAGTACTACCAACATTGGTTGACTTAAAAATATTGTTGCTGGATTGACAAGCTTTTTACGGATGGCCGAGTCCCAGAAACTTCGGAACTTGGTTAGACTAATGGACCACTTTCGTTTGGGTAACTTAAGGCTATGGTTTGATCTAGCTTTCTCTTCGTGCATTGCTTAATAACATACCCCAAATTTTCGAGAGTTGTTAACACCTTGTCAACCGTTTCATCGTTTACCATAGCTGCCTCTTCACATATTGGTTCAAATGGATGGATAAATTTGTTGTATCTTATGACCTCGGCTGTCTTATTTGGGTCATGGTACCACACCTTCACCTGTGTGTGCTTTCTTAGTATATCCTTATGCCAACGACTAACAATGTATCTTTCTGGAATGTCAAACACAAGATTCAGATCAAGTATCCTCATTATATACTTACACACACTACTAGAAAACAGCCAATCAACGACGGAAAAAATCCGTCGGAAAACCCTGAAATTCCGTCGGAATGCCCATTTCCGATGGAATTCCGTCGGAAGGCACCATCGCATTACATGTCGTAGGAATTTCGCGATATTCCGAGGGAAATTCCGTCGGAAAGGTCCATTCCGACGGAATAGCTTCTCTCAGAGTCCAGTTTGACTTAAATGGATATTCCGCCGCAAGATTCCGACGGACCATTTTCCGTCGGTACAGGATAGGTTCCGACGGAATTTTCCGTCGGAAGGGGTCCACCTTCCTACGGAAAATTCCGTCGAAAAGTGCTTTAATAAAACCAAAAAAAAGGGGTTTCCACCACACCCACCACCCCAGCACCACCACACCTGCCTTACCCATCCCCTGCCCCCCCTACGCACCCATACCCCCTGCACCCCTTACCCATCCCCTGCCCCCCCTACGCACCCATACCCCCTGTCGCCCAGTCACCACCCACCAAACGCACACCACCTACCACACGCACCCACCACCCCTGTAACCACCCAAACCACCACCGTACCATCCAAAAAACATCAAAAAATTCCGACAAAAACCCGGATCTTCCCACCATGCAACCTCCAACATCCACCACCACCACCATAAATTTTCAAAAAAAATACCGAAAAGAATAGCAAATTAATTTAAAATAAAACAATGTACATACCTTAATTCGACCACACAAAACCTCGAAATTGGGTTTACGAGGTCAAATTCGACCATGAAAACTCTAGATCTAGAGTTTTCATGGTCGATTTTGACTTGAAAACCTTGTGTTCTTGATGTTGTTGATGGCGAAAATGACGGAGTTTGACTTGAAAACCTCGAAATAGCGTTTTTGGTGGCGTTGGTGGTGTTGGTGGTGTTGTTTACCTCAGCGTTGGTGGTTAGTGAAGAAGAACGAGAGAGGAGAAGAGGAGGGAGAAGGAGAACGAGAGGGAGAACGAAAGGGGGGGCGTAGAGGAAGAGAAGAAGGATGGAGAAGGAGAGGAAAAGAAGAACGAGAGGAAGAGAAGAAGGAGAAGGAGAGCGTTAGAGAAGGAGGATGAGAAAAGGTGAAATGAGGAAGTCAGGAAGAAGGAGGAGGAAAGAGAAAAATGAAAATGTGAATGAAAAAGAAGGGGCGGCTGGTAAGTGGTGAGGGTCTCAGGGTTTTATTTTATTTATTTTATTTTATTTAATTATATTTCGACGGAATATTCCGTCGGATATTTAAAGTTCTGACGGAATATTCAATTCCGTAGGAAAATTCCTACGGACTTTATTTCCGTAGGAAGTTTGATGTTCTGACAGAATTTTCCGTCGGAACCTTCCGACGGATTTTATTTCCGTTAGAAGTTTAAAGTTCCGACAGAATATTCCGTGAAAAAGCCTATATTTTTTTACGGAAATATATTCCGTCGGAACTTTCTTACAGAATTCCTATGGAGTAGAAAATCCGTCGGAATATCTGAATTTTCCGACGGAAATACATGTCCGTCGGAAACTGTCCGTCGGAATTTGACCTATTTCTAGTAGCGACATGATACCGTGCGTTTCAAATTTGCGGCAATCACACAAAACCTCCTTGGTGTCCGTGTTGAATGTTGCACTATAAAACCAGCGCCTATCAGTGATTACATCCTCACTCATTCCTTCTGGGACTATCCAAACACGGTCCTCAAGGACATAATGAATTAAATTGGTTGATACCCAAGTCTCCTCACGTGGATAACAATACATCATTCTGGTACACTCCGTTTGGACCTCTTGAAACTTTGTGTCTGTGTATAACTTCTGAAATTCCTTCTCAATCTTAAATCCACTAGCAAGTCTCCTAATATACTTTGAGAACTTTGCATTCGCATCAGTCTCATCTCGTACACGCTTCTCCATAGCTTTTGCAAATTCTGTGGGAATTCAAAAAAATTTGTGTGACGGTTGACAAAACCATCAAAAAAAACTGTTAATACTCTCAACTCTTTGTGTTGTCTTCATTCTAACCCAAAAATATTCCTTCATGAATGCAGGTACCCACATATGTCTTTCCTTGTACAGGCTCTCGAGCTAATCGTTGCTTTCCAACTTATACTCAGTAACAAGTGCACACCATCCATTCTCAAACTCTTCTAAATTAAAGCTTTCATATACAACGACCTTTAGCTCGTTTTTGAATTCTTGATACCTGGATTACAACAAAAGCCTATTAGCATAAAAATCATGAGGTACAAAAAATTAAGCAGGATGTTATGTAATATTTCCAATACATATGCATAAAGTATATCCTTGCACCATACCTTTCACATTTACCAAGTTTTTCCGGTATTTTCCTCATTATGTGCCATATGTACCATCGATGCCGAGTTGTCGACATCACCTGCTCCATGGGTTTCTGCATAGCAGCTGCCTGATCGGTGAGTATTGCGATCGGTGCTTTGTTATTTATACATTCCAACCTCTATTTGAATATCCATAGAAATGTGTCGCAATCCTCGCGAGAAACCAAAGCGCACACCAACAAACTAAAATTGATTATCCGTGATGATTTACCCAAACAAAATTCATAAAAGGAAGATGATACTCATTTGTCAGATGAGTTGCATTGAAACAGACAACGACCTGACTACGAGCATCAACCCACAAAACATCTTTTAATCGACCATCGTCATCTAGACGTTGTGCATGATAAAAATTTTGGTTCTCTGATTGCATTTGTTGAAAATACATCATCATCGCAGCTGAATTTCCACCCACCATCTTCAAACCTTTATTTGTACACATCATGTTAAAGGTCTTTCATGGTCCATGACATGGTATCAGTTCCATTTCCTTCCATAGCCAGACATCCATGAATTTAAGAAACCGGAACCCCGTCATCAAAATAGTTTAACAACTTAGCTTCTTCCTAACCCTTGAAGTACAATGCTTCATGCGATACTCTTTAACCAACTTCACCTTACCCGGTGTCGGTGTGTGGTTCAAATGCTCCAACTCTACCTTCTTCAATACCCACTCGCGTTCACGGTTGATACTAGCATAGATCATTCCTTTCCATTCACATTTTTTAGACCTCCTCTTCCGTCGGCTTAATTCAAAACTACACCACTAACTACTCCACCGGAACCACACATGTCCATCACCTTTACCCTCTTCTTTGCTTCCCTCTAAGCCCTCATGTCAGGTCTCTCCTAACACTCACATTTCCATGTTGTGACAATACAGTCTCTCCCCTCACCCTTAGAGAACACGCCCTGGACTTTGGTTATTCTAAATCCCTTTTGTTGAGCACATTCTTTGTAATAAGCTTCTACATCTTGCCATGTCTTAAATACCATTCTAGTCTTAGGAGACTCCACATATGATATTATACTAATGTGGTTGCTAGCTACAATCGTTTGCATCGTCTCAACTGTTTTAATTGGGGATAAGTATTGCCTTTATTGCAATGGGACGGTCTAGGAGTACTAATCGAAGGTGGTTATTTCTCCACATAAGGAATAATCAAACCACCATGCAAGTCTGCACATTCATCAACATGATCATGTTGATTAGAACTTATCTCTGCACATAATATGTTAATCTTGAATATCAATGGGCCCGGCTAAAAAAAGAGTGTAATCAGGTTTTGTGTTAATTATGAGGTTTTATTTACCAAAAAAAGTATGATGTGTGATCACATGGTGACATGGCAATGTAATAATAAGATTGTGATACAATCGAGCAAAGAAAATGACAAACAAAATTGAGTAAGGGAACAAATAATGAAAAGAAAAGTTGAGTATTTTTGAAATTTCAATTAGTTAATAAGTGAAAAAATATAGATATGTCAGTTTTATCAAAGTGTTCAAAAAGGAAAGAAATGAAATGAAAAACATTTGAGACGCTTGAAAAGGAAAAGGAAAACGAGAATTATAATGAGATGTCCATCTGTTTCAAAATGAATGTCTAAATTTGAATGAAACATTTGCCAACAATATAATATTTTTTTTGGTGTTTAGAGAGCCACAAGGACGGACGATGAGAATCGATCCCAAAACCACTTGCAACTTGGAGGGAAGCTTTAACCACTTGAGCTATCTACCTATCCCTCACTCTCGCCAACAATATAATTTGACCAATAATATTTTTAATTTTCAATAATTATAGTAAGAAGAATTCAAAAGCTAGTGTTGGATTCTAGAATATGTAAGGCTTATGAGAGTGCTCCAGGGATTATGAAATAAAGGATGGAAAGTCAATGTTGTCGGTTAGTTTGAACAAAAAAACTTGCATCTGTGGAGCATGACAAAATATCAGAATTGCCTTGCAAGGATGCAATAAGAGCAATAATGTGTGCTAGAGTCCTAGAGAAGACCCTCACAAGTATACTAGCACCTGGTACTACGGTCCGGCGTACAAGCAGACATACTCTCATACCATCAACACAATACCCAACAATGAGAATTGGCCTTATATTAACATGCCCACTATATTTCCACCGCCACTAAGGAGAGGGGTTGGACGACCATCAAGAAATAAGAGAAGGGAATATGGTGAGAAAGTTAAGAAAAGGGAAAAAAGATCAACAACTATCAAATGCACTAATTGTAAGGAATTTGGTCACAACATAAGAACATTTAAAGGTGGATTGACTGCAAAGGAAAAAGCAGCACAAAAGCAAAGTGTAACAGCAAGTAGTGGGGTTGGAACAAGTTCAGAAGGTGCCAACATGAAGAGAACACATGAAGAAGATGCATTACTAAAGCCTGAATTAATTTTCGAGATATTATCACTAATGTTGACAAATTTCATGCATATTTTATTTAGTTTTGGAGATTTACTTAATTTTAGATATTATGCTGACTGATTTTTTAATTTTTTAATTTTTGAGATTTTTTTTGTTGTCAGATTTTATTTTAGGAAATTTTCACTTTTGCTACCACCAAAACACATGTGTTTCACTTTTGCTACCCCTTAAATTTTTTTTTTTATTTTACTACCACCTAAAAGCACATTTGTTAAAATTTGCTACCAATTTACGGATTCAGTTACTATTTCCATTAGTGAGATCCAGCCACCCTCAATGTCACCTTGCGGCCACCCCTCCCTCCTTAGCCACCCTAACTGCCTCCCTGTCAGCCACCCAAAAAAAAATAAAAAAAAAATGTTGAAAAATCAGCTGGCTCTTCTTCCTCCCTGCCTTCTTCTTCTTCCTCCCTTTCCATTATTTTGGCTGCTCCCATCAGCCATCCCTACCTGCCGGTGGCCGGCGCCCCAAGCTTTGGCCACCAGTCCACCACCCTAACAACCACTTGCCCCCTGAACTACATCTTGCCAACGCCACCTCCACCTCAGTCACGCCAGAAAAACCCTATAACCACCCCCAAAAACCCAACCTCATCCCCGAAAATTCTAAACCCTAACCCTTTCTCTTTCCTTCCTCACTCCTTCCTTTCTCTTTCCCTTCACTCTCCATTAATTCCGATCCCCTCCACCCTCTTTGCTGCTGCTGCTTCACAAGCTGAATTCCAAGGTGGGTTTCGTAGTGTCTCGGGTTCCATGGTCCCTCCTTATTCTCTCTCGTTAAAGGCCAAAATCGGGTGTCCTCTATTTCTCTCTCTTCGTTTTCAATTTCCGGCCGCCGCCTACCCTCTCTAACACCGAATCTCAGCTCGCCCCCCTTTTTCGATTTCTAGGTTTTCGGTGTTTTAGGTTCTGGGTTAGGGGTGGCTGTTTTGGGTGGGGGGGTCGATTCAGGGTGGGGGAAGGGGAGGGGGCCGATTCCGGTGGGGGGGTGGGGAGGGAGGGTTGTTCTCCGATTTCGGGGTGGGGGTTGTGGCAGCGAGAAGGGGATAAGGGAGGGGGTGGGATGCGTAGGTGGAGGAAAGGGAGGTAGATTGGAGCCATCGGCACCGGCAGGGGGAGGGTGGCTGACGAGAGCAGCCAAATAATGGAAAGGGAGGAAGAAGAAGAAGGAAGGGAGGAGGCAGCTGGTTTTTTTTTTTTTTATTGATTTATTTAATATTTTTTTTTTTAAAATAAACTTAACGGAACTCTAACGATTTCTGTTAAGTGGTAGCAAATTTTAACAAAGGTGTTTTTGTGTGGTAGTAAAAATAAAAAAAAAAAAAATTAAAGGGGTAGCAAAAGTGAAACACATGTATTTTGGTGGTAGCAAAAGTGAAAATTTTCTTTATTTTATGCATGCTAGAGATGTAATGTATTTAGTTATATTTGGCATTTGCTTGAAAGTTCATAATAACTAGTATGTCTGACTTTCTTGTGAATTAGGTGCATTGGTTGAACTAGATTGTCCTATATCTAAGACATTTCTTAGTCAATTGGTTTATTAAAATGTACTACTCCTAATTATATTGTTGGTGAAGATTATACTAATTAAGAAGGTGTATAGATTTTCGTGCAAAATAAAATTATAAAACATGGATGAGCCTCGTTTTAAGGCTCTAGTTCCAGACTTGTGACATGCAATGTCATTATGTCATCTAGCATTAATTCCTTACAATTTGTTTAAGGCTTAATGTCATTTAGTTATCTAAAAGGTTGCACAACATCCCCTAAAAGCATAATAAGGCTGCATCCATAGTGTCCTCCGCGGCCAACCTGTGGTCAGCAGCCAAACTCCGCGGCCAACCTGTGGTCAGCAGCCAAACTTGCCTGCCTATACGATCTACGCACTTGCTCCTCCTCGCCACCAATGGCGTTTCCAAGAATTTTTTATTATGGGTTCGAAGTTTTGGAATGTAAGATAATATACTCCCTTCGTTGTTTCTTATTTGACCTAATTTGACTTTTGCACTATTCATACTCACCTTTGATCGCCTTTTGTGATTTATACGTAAGTTGCGTAGGTTTTTATTTAAATCATCTCAATATATCTTATCACAATATCTATTGAT